TATTTCAACGAGTGTATTTTGAGGTATATGGACCTGGACTACAAAATACACAGTAGAACCTTGTAAGTGTGCAAGATTTGTATATTCTGCGTTGGACGACTTGTGAAGTGACCTGCTGAGCAGATGCCAAGTGTTTTCTTCAACCAGCTTTTCTTGGTGAATCCTCCATTCTTGTCAGGAGGAGGCGGAGGGTGCATGGGAGGCGGGACACGTTGCAAGATTTAGTTTCGTCATGTGAATTAACAAATGAACACCTAATCAATTTGCAAGTGCGCTTGAAAAAGAAGCAGCGCAAACAAAATCAAGTTTCATTTTGCTTGAGATTTATCCGCAGTTTTTTGATTCTTCTCTCAGGCAAGCCTCCGCAACTTGGATGAAATGCCGCCTTTCTCCTCCTTCGTGTTTTACCCTCAAACGGAATATTAGGAACATACAGATCAGCTTAGATTCATTGTGACATTGATGTTCTTGTTCACTAGACCCTGGTACAACTTAGCAGCTAGCATTTGGAATTGTTCTTGGAACAAAACTAAGCGTGTCAAACTTTGCCATGTCGGTACTGCTATGTCTATGTGCTTTGATTTCTAGATTTCTATAGTACCCCCCGCAGCTACTGGCTGGGTAAACTATCCGGAGCAGTGTCGAAGAGTTGCATAGCCGACATCGCGCTAGAGCACAGCCTATAGCTGAGAGGAGTTACTTTACCGTTGGTCAGTCCTCATTCAGTCTCCACATTCATGGAGGGCATTGGTTGTTCCAAACAGAGCCCAAAGCAATAACACCGTCCATTTTTGGTTGCCGTTTGTAAGGATGGGTGGCAAGAAAGGCTTCAACAACTACGGCAAGGGCTATGGGAAGTGAGGGCAAGGGCTCTGGTCGCTCGAAAATTTTGGGCCACTCCAATGAAGCCGGACATCGAGACCGTTGGTCCGATTTGGCCGGTGGCAGGGTAGACGACTCTACGTGTGCATTCCTTAATGTATATTTGGCGATGCAGTTGAAAAGGGTCTGCCGGCTGCTTTAAGTAGACGTGGTTGCCAGGAGCGAAGAATTGTCTTTTGAATATTGTGGGGATTGCAACTTGTTACTTCTGCAATGAATGAGCTTGTATTTGGGTCATCGCAGATATCCGACTTGTCCAAGATGGGATGAGAAGCCCATGGCTTTTGGAGGATTGGCCCATGCCGGCCGCCATTGCCTTTTGTTGCATGTAAGAGGGAGAGAGAAGCGAGAGAGAAGGCCCTGTGAAAGGATCAGTGCAGATGTAGCCGCATCTTGGCTTTCATGGTGTTGTTGTGAAGTCCCTCAACATTCCTAAAAGCAACAGCAAGGTTGGAATTGTGTGAGTAGAGATTGTCATGCTGCTGGGAAGAGGTGGCAATGACAAAGATGGACAACACACAGTGCACTACCTATCCTTTGACTACTGTTGGAGAAACTATCTGACAAGATTGCACACGATACCGCTGGTTCCGCCAAGGTTATATATATATATACATACTGTATATGTAGACAGGTGCAAACATAGATTGCAAAATAAGTATTGTGACAGGCAAGGACGGATTCAAGCACATCCTATTCCCAAGAGCAATGTTGTTATCTGCATCCCACAGATGATGTGAGCCCAGTTTGTTTTGATAACTCTGCGAGCTTGCCCACCGTTTTTTGCTCTCGAGGCCTGTGCCAGTACCGCCTCAATTTCAAGATCTGATGCAGGTGGGAAGCCTTGATGCAAAAGGAAGGTGGGCCAGGTGGGCGGAATGTCTCTTCCTTTTTGCAAGAAGAACCACCCTTACTAGAACTGAGGTTTGGACTTTTCTACCATTTTGCCGCTTGCTATATGTTCTTTGCGCCACTACATGCTCGAAATAGTCATGTCGCTACAATCAGACGAGATTTGAGACATTCAGAACTGAGGAAGAAGCTAGATGTGTGCGTATGCGTGCCAGTAGATTGCCTCCGTAGACTCATCCAGACGTTTAGTCAGTAGAGCTCCTGTCCAATACCATTCATTCAGAATCTTTGGGAAAGGTCAATTGTCGTTATAGATCAGAGATAGGTCCCCAAACCTTGTAAAGGTAGCTATGAAGTCCTAAACCCTCGATCAGAGATCCCCAGGAAAGTAGACTTTCTGAGCAGAACAGAATCCTTCACTCAAGGGTTTTGCGGGAGGCATATGATAGAGAGGTGTGTAGAATCTATGCGGCTTGAAAGCCTAAGAAAGCTTGTGTTTGCAGGTGGCGGCAGAGTTGGAGGTGCGCCGCCAACGAGGCGCGAGGCTGCCTCGGCAAGAGGTAGAAGGCCTCCATTAGCCTTCACTGAGGGATGCCGTGCTGTAACCTTCGTGGTTTGATAGTACAACATAATAGGAATGCATGTCACCCTGTGGATGCTAGATGCATTGATCTCATTCGATTCTATAATTAAAGTGTTTATGTGGAGCTTTCGATGCTTCGACATCTTCAGACAGGTTTTGCCTGCATGCTTTATGTTTTGTTTTGAGATGTTCCTGGATGCTTGTCAAAGGAACTTTAGTGGAGAAACTTCCGTGTTACGGACATTTGGAAAGCCATCAGCAGTTGCACAGTAACAGTCACGTTCGTATCATTCATGTCAGCAACAGCAGCGTAAGATAGAGTAAGTATTGTTGATAACAACAGTAGCGTAAGTCAGCGTTTCAAAGTGAGAGTAACCTAAGTCACAGTTGCACGTTGCACATCAACAGTAGCATATGTTCCTTTTGAAGCCTTGAGATGTGCAAATTTGAGGAAGGAGCTTTGACATGCCACAATTTGACATATTGCACAACATGCTTCAAGCTGAGATTTGCAAATTGGAGGACATCTTGCATGAAATGCTATTTCTTTTTTCCAACAGCGAAGCTTAGGGGTCTTCAGCCATAGTAAAGACTTTGGAGCAGAATCAGAGCAGGTCACAGAGCAGGTTCGAAGCAACTTCTGAAACAGGTTCCAGAGCAAGTTCGGGAGCATCCGAGCAGGTTCCGAAGCAGCTCCGAAACGGAACCGGTTCCGAAGCAAGTTCCGGAGGAAGTTCTGGAGCAAGTTCCGGAGCAGGTTCTGGGAGCCAGAGGGGTCAACCGAGACGAAAAAGAAAACATGCGCAGATGACGGCGGCGCGAAGGCGGCTGGACCCACTCCGCCGCCGCGGACCCCTGCCGCACGACCACTATGCTTGCAGTTGCGGCTGCCGCTGCTTCCTGTCCCGCAAGTCGTGCCGTGGGAGCCGACGCAGCTTGGTGCACGCAGTAGGCAGCCTAACTTATCCACGCGGGGTGCTGAAGGCTAGAATCCACAAACATACACACGCGCGGGCGAAATTTGTGTTTCAGTGTGTGCCCACCTGTCCCTAGCTGCAACGATAAACCTGGATCAGGAGCTTGCAATAAGCCAGACAAGCAGGAAATTGTATTCAAAGAAAGGGGGCCAAAAAAAGAAGCGAGCGGCCAAGGCTGCAGAGGCTCACAAACAAACACCTTTATGGAGCCGGGAACAAGCAAAGAAGACCAAGGAGTGCGCGTCAGTTGTGACAGGCTTGCCAAAGAAGGAACGCGCTTGGCGTCACGCGCAGCGGCAGACTGAATGAACGGCATCGACGCAGCGCGATTGCTGAGAAACATACACAGAGAATGCAACTTTGCATTTTCCAGCACTTTGCGGCGGTGAATGCCCGATCTCAAGGAGATGTGACGTGAACGGGTGGTGAAAACGCCACGTCAGGCCGGCTCAACCTCATTTCTTCAATTTGGCCTTGAATATGCTGGGGAGCTGGCTCTGGCAGGCCAAAGGGTGGCGGAACGCGAGGCGTTTTGCCTGTTGCTGAAGCGCAAAGCAAGGGAAACAGAGTTAAAACAGGCCAAAGCTACACAGAGAGAGAGAGGGAGGGAGGGAGCGAGAGAGAGAGAGAGAGGGAGAGGGAGAGGGAGAGAGAGAGAGAGAAACAACAAACAAGAGACGAACAGAAAAGAAAAGACAAACAGGAAAAAAATATGTAGAACTATAGAACGACAAAATGAAATAATGAAAGGAAGAAAGAGCGACAAGGACGCAGAGGAGCAAAGACGTGAAACGCGTGAAACAAGGGACTCAAGAAAAAGGATGCCTTGTTTTTGAACGCGCGCGGGGGAAACATGCTAGGGATGGCTGTTGGAGAGACCAAAAGCTGCGTCTAGGTGTATACCTTGAGCGCGCCCAGGTGGAGAAAGAGCACGCCCACCTGAAGTCGTGACGCCTACCATTATGCAGCTCTAGCGTATTGAATAGTTTCATCCCGCTAACTTGGTTTTGACAAGTTTCCGCTCAGGAAGTACAAAGCCCCCGGACCCGGAATTTTGATGCAAAGATTGTCCTTCAACAGCGTACATGGTTTGGTACCCAGTAAGGTACCCTGTGACCCACTTGTGTTGGACAATGTCGCAATGCCCATTCACGACCTTCGCGAGACAAAATTCTGCTCCTCTTTCCCTTCTGCGCGCGCTCCGATGTTGCCGCCAAACCAAGCGGAAAGCGGGAGTAAGTTCCCAAGCAGATTCCGGGGAGCGTCCGGGGCACGCTCCGAGCAGGTTCTGAAGCAGGTGTCTGGAGCAAGTTTTGGAGCAAGCCCGCAAGCCCGGAACAAATTTGGGAGCAGGTTCTGGAGCAAGTCGGAGCAGGTTCCTCCTGAGCAAGTTCTGAAGCAAGTTCAATGCAACAGAGCGGTTCCGGGGCAAGTTCCGGAGCAGGTCCTGGGCTCCGGAGGAGACTCCGGAGCATGTTCCGGAGCCTTTTTGCAAATGGTGAGGTGCCGCCGTGATAGTGAAAAAATGTTGTTGTCACGGTGCAGCGCTGACCCGTCATGATGCGGGCGTGTTTTTATGCTGACCATGTTGGCATTTTGGCTAACCTGCCAACATGTTATGTTAAACGTCTGACGCACTAGGGTGTAGCCACGCCAACAAGCTTACATGGTGTCATGCTGGTTTCTTGTGTGTTGTGGAATGCTGTGACGCAGACGTGTAGACACGCTGAAATGTTTCGTATTGTTATGTTAATACGCTGGTGTTGTGTCAAGCCGACAAGTTGCCAGCCTGTGATGCTCACATGCTCACGCACTGTCGCACTGAGACGGGGAAGTCGGGCCACTGGGCCTATTTCAAGCTTGTGAAAGAGAGCGGAAGTCTTGCTCATATGGAAACTTTTGACACCAAAATTTGAGGAGTGTCTTTCACGACATGCGCTTGTGAGAGATAGCCGCTGCACGACAGCTTCGCAAGTGTCGCGCGAGAGCTCCCGCGGGGGTAGCTTCTGGGCTGTTGACTTCGCAGCGAGGCTCCATGAAGATGAACCTTGATAGTAAATGTTGCCTTGGTTTTTCAACGATCCTGATTCCAAAGGGGCCATGTTTCCTTTGAGGTACCTAACCGCTGCCTTTACTAGTTTTGCTTCTTGCATGCCAAGCGCTCTCAGCAGTTTGTCGCCCTGAAGAGTTCAGGAGGTGGCCCCTATTGGCCAGATGTTGCTGAAATCTCCTTGTCCATCTCACTGCGGGCTCAGAACTGGCAACTGTGTAGTGCAACTGTGGCAACGAGGAGCAGGACACATGCTTGGGTGTAAATGCAGCGTGTCGCTGGTGAACGGCATGATTGCCGGGAAACTTGTCAATCTTTAAGTTATGTTGTGGCCCCTATAGGCACTTCTTTTTAAACCTCCGCCGTGGCTTGTTCGGGTACTATTTGTGTGCTCAAGCTTCTTTTTGTGGTCAGGAACCCTGAGTGGGAACACCAGTTCCAGGCTGGGTTTTGACTTCCCCGAGCAGTTTCTGAGTTTCTCCTTTGCACCAGTTTGACACAGGCGACCCCTGTGTTTGAGTTGAATGGCAATGGCTTTCCCGTTTCAAGTCTAGGCGGTTTTCTCTTCACAAATTTGTTGGCCGGCAAAGGCAACGAATGGCTTCAATTGTTTTCATTTGTGCAGGCAATTTGCAGCTAAAGAGGGCTAGTAAAGACTTTAGCTCGCTGGTTGGTGTGCGCTGCCTATTCAACATTTTAGCAGTCGAAAAATTGGTTAGGCATACATCATCATCATCATCAAAGGTCTTCAAGGCATCAGGAAGCTGTCGACGCCTGAGAACGGAACTACACCATGAAATATCGTTGTTCTCAGACGTGTTCATTTGGTGACCGCAACAAACCCCGGACGCGAGACTCAGACACAGCAGACTTGAAGTGGTCGCGGTCAATTTTCACCACGAAGACAAGCGGTTTGAACAACTAATTCTTGGCAACTTGGGTTTGCCTGAGTCATCCCAATTAATTATTAATGTTTGACTGACAATGACAATGCCATAAAGGTTCATATATACATATGTCATATATATACACGTACAACATTGTAGCACAAATCTAGCTTGTGCATAAGGCACTTGCCAACGTCGCCACAGAGGAAAACTGCAGGGATGCCAAAGAAATTTCTTCCAACATTGACGTTTATTTTTTTTTTATATAGTGGGTATCGAACATCGAGCTCTGTTTTTTCCGCCAGGACAAACTAACCAATGTAGTACCACAAACACTATGCGTGTGGTCCTAGTGTTCTATGCCGCCAAGAAAGAGCTACCATGGAAGATATCCAAGGTCGTGCGCTGCAAACCAAAGGCCAGTTCTCGAGCTTAAGCTGGTACTGGTGTGTGATGGAAACTACATCCAATGGAAACTATTGACCTTTACCTGGAGATATTTCTCCGCTTTTGTGAACCTTTGCCCACCCATACCACCGAGCATAGTCACTTCCAGACTACCTTTTGTGGCATGACGCGTGCACCCTAAGGGCTGTACACATCACCTTTCACACTCCCCCCAACCTGCAGACCACACCATGGTGCAGGTTGCATGTATGAATGATGGCACAGCTTCCAACCTCGCGTGTTTGTTGCTGTGTCGCCGGCATGAGCCACCACCGGCTGTTAGGCACCCGTCCCCAGCATGCCGCCATAGCTGCCACATCCTGCATGCCGCCATAGCTTGCCACACCCCGCACGCCGCAGTAGCTGCCATGCATCCACTCATTGAGCACCGCCCATCTGCTTGTCACGCGCCATGTGCCGCCCACAGCCCACAGCTTGTCACATGCTCCATGTCGTCCGTGGCATTCTCCATGCTCCAACCAATCCATTCCTGGATCCTTAACCAACTCTCGGCGTTGGGCTCATAACCTCCGCTTCGTGAACCTCTCTGCCCACCCATACCACCGAGCATAGTCACTTCCAGACTACCTCTTGTGGCATGACGCGTGCACCCTAAGGGCTGTGCACATCACCTTTCACAATTTCCAATGTTTTTGTTGGCCGCCTCTGGTTCGATTAAAAGTAAACCTCTTCAGGCGCCTTCGCACCCAGCACTGGCGCCGCTTGGTGGAGGACCTCGCCGTTGAGGAATCCGCGACACACGACTTGTTGCTTGAGAACACAGGAACCCAAGATTCCAGCGGAGATTCGACACTTTCTGGCGCAGAATCCGCAGGCAAGGATAGACAGCGTCGCACCTGTAGGGAAGTGTCCTCACTATCGTTCGAATTCCTTCGAGTCTTTTTCGATCAGTTCTTTTTGTGGGTGTTCATTGTAAGAAAGACAGAGATTGATACATTTCCTAGGTTTCGTGGCCTGCCCTGCCCAGGTGACCTCTTTGGCTGGTCTGCGTGAGGCTCTCGCTGCGGATGAAAAAGCTGGTTTGCAGCAAGTGAAGTTGTTTCGAAGCATCATTGAAAGATTTACAGGCCCAGAAAAGATGCGTTCAGATGAGTTCAGATGTGATCTCTCTCTCCTAGCCTCCAGAGAGATAGCTGCGCTACGTCCAGCCTGAGTCTGAATTGATGGGGGAATGCCATTCTTTTTTGCCTTTCCTGTGGCCATTCTTGTCACGCTACGACAGAATGGTTCGATGGACGTGCATGTCAGAATTGCGAACTCAAGTTTGGATTGATCTGGACCTGAAACATATGAAACAGACTACAAAATAGACATCAAATCAATGTGGTAATGTGGGCAAGACTTCACATCAGAGCCGCACCAGGCAGCACGTTCCGCAACTCTTGCAGAGAACAGATGCTAAGATTTCACCAGGTTCTTTCCTTGCATACCCAGACAGCATGCATAGTATGTACAGACAAAGATTTGGACCCTCAGCAGCCCAATATCGCTTTTGGCTGCTGGAAAATAGTTACCTTTGCAACCTAAAGGCAAGAAGCTACTAGGGGCTCCTGGCATCTCTACTAGGAACAAGAAGCTACTAGGAACAGTTACCTAAAGGCACTTCTGTTGATTTTCTTCTAGACACTCTCAGTCAGTGGAGACTCGGCTGTCACAATGGCTTCCTTGGAGCTCTCGCAGCACACCAATGCGGTGGACCGGGGACCCAATTCGTTCCGGAACGCCATCCAATAAGTGCCTTTTGGTTCTGAAAACTGCTTTGGAACTCTTCCTAGAGGTTCTTAGAGGGATGATTCTGCACCAGTTGTTTGATACTTGCATCCACCAACTGTACCTAGGCATATTTATTTGAAGGCTTCTGCATTAGTTGCTACGAGTCTTTGTAACAAAAGCATTCAAACACACACACAGCACCTAAATACCAGGCATGACAACTGAGTACTGTAACAGCCGCCTAGTTGTTCGGCCTTGCCGGCTCTGCACGCACAGTGTTTTTGGGTGACAAAGGCGTTTGCGTCAATTTGTTTTGGTCCTCAATGCACAATGGTTTTGTCCAGGAGAAGTTTCACCATTTTGACCGTGGCAGTCCATGCAATTACTCTAGATGAACTACACTGCGGACACGACTTATTTGCGACGCTGGGCATTCGGTGTTGATTTGAGAGCGTCAGGTGCACCGTTTGTTTCAATGGCCAACACGTTTTCAACTTGCTATGTTACTCGGGTAGCAAAGATACGTAGTCACAAGTCGCACCTTTCGAAGTCAGCAAAAGTCGCCTGCAACAGCTCACCATGCTGCTAGACATGTGGCCACGTGGAGGCTTTTCACTTTTCACTTCATTTCAAGCTAAGGAACCACCTGGAGGTAGCTCGAGACTTCTACTCTGAGCCTCGGTGAGCAGGGTAGAAATGCGTTGAAGATTTGTGTCCAAACTCAATCAAGCAGCGCGTGGTAGGCCATTTTAAAGAGCCTTCTCATATGGTTCACTTATGGAGTCTTTTGGTGAGCCATACACACTGTTTTGTGCAGGTGAGTTCGCATAACAAGTCGAAGTGTCACAGACCTCTCTGCCAGCAGCAAATAATAGTGTCAAGTAGGAGCTCAACTTTAATCCTGAGCGTCCTTGTTACTAGTAGCGATGCCCTTTGTTGGTTACCTATTGACGGTAAGGTAGGTCTGGTATAGGTGAGTTACTCTTGGACTGCTGTTCAGCTGTGTCTTGGTAACTAATGATCATGATACACCACACGTATGCCATTTTGGCTAGAGTGGTGATCACCCTGGCTGTTTTTGAGGGCGCGTGAGCCCTTGGTGGGTTCTGTTGACTAGGGCCTGGGTGATCACTAAGGTTTAACTAGGCTAGCTCCTACCGCAGCCATGTCGGACATGCATATGGCTCCCTTTTTGCGCCAGCAAGCGATCGCGGTGAACCGTGTCGTTCGGCCAGAGGACTCAGTCAGCAATGTGAGCTTTTCTAGTTGGACTCGTGTGGCTGATCATGTTGAGATAGATGACTTGGAGTTGCCTCCACCTGATCTAGAGCTGCCCCATGTCGTAGATCTTGACAACAAGGTGAAAGTTGGTCAGCCGGATCCGGGTCAGAATCGGAGCATTCCAACAGTGGCTCAAGCTCAGCCAGCCACACCGCGACAAGGACAGGATCCTGTCCCAAAGTCTGCACCAGCCAGGAACGATGGCAGATCAGCAGACAGCTGCGCCAGCCGTGGCTCCTCAACCGCCAGTGTCGAAGGCAGCTCCGGCAACACAAGCTGCTCAGAACTTGCTTGCTGGAACCAACCCTCAATATGGATCCAGAAAGCTGCAGAAGCAAGCCGCTCGGGCCGCCAGGAAAGGAGCTCGTGGTCTTCGGTTTGGCCAGCTGGGTGGGCTCCACAACGCGCTCAGCAATGTGCTCCCTCCCTACCTCAGCCAAGTCGGATCGGGCGGTGGCGAGAGGTCGGTGCTGGTGGTTGACACAAGGGACCAAAGGATCTCTAGTCCCTTCCAGGGTTGGCTCCTAGACGAGATATTGATCAATGCACAGGCAGGAGTCAACGTGCTCTCGGACGCTCGTCAAGTGCGCAGTCCAAGCACGGGCTACCACATGAACCTGTTCTACATGAGGACCCTGGAAGGCAAGAAGTTGATCATCGTGGGATCCATGACATCTTACGGATCCGTGCCATGTGGCAGGTGGGACTCCCAGACTGGGGAGGTCTTGGCTCACCAGGCTTTTCAGCCTTTCCGGTGGCCCATCATGAGGGACGATTCAGCGACCTGGGTCGACCTGAAAGTGAAGATCGAAGGTGCGCTCCTCCTTCACCTCGAGCTGCGGGGGTACCGGTCCGATCAGGATATGACGGTACAATTGAACTACATCAACGACGCGATCGTCATGGCGCTCGAAGAGGTGTTGTTCATTCCCTCGTGCACGGTGGTGATCTTCCAAGGGTGGAGAGTTTGCGCCGTCTCGTTCGAGGTCGGTGGTCAGCTGTATGCTTGTGGCGAGGGGGGGGCAGTTCTTGCCTTAGACTTTCCTCTTTGCCACTTTGAAATCCGGCTGACGGCGGTCTCGTCGGCTGACTCGCTGGGCCTGGACGCAGATCGTTTAGAGTTCAGGTTCACCTCAGCTCAGGACAGACTCAATGTGGCATGTGGCACGCTCGCTGTCCCAGCGACTTGGCTGGTGGTGTCCCGAGTGTCGGGGCCTACGCTCGTGAAGAACGCCCGGTGGTGTCGAGATCACTATGCACGAGTTGAAGGACCTGATCAAGTGATGCAATTGTCTCAGATTGCGGGGATCCATGCACACTGGACGGCTGGGGTAACAGCTGACTCGATCGAGGACACCGGGCCGAGGATCGGTGCTGTAGATGTGAGCTCTCATGCCGACAATCTAC